CCGTTTCCTTTTCTGTCAGCATGAGTAACCTCTTCCCTCATTTCTTGCAAAACAGCTATTATAGGTAATTATCCATGTCGTGATCTGCCTACAAAAAGACGCACTACAGAAGACCTTGAAACTGCTTTTTAGCACTTCCGCCACACCAGCTACAAACCGAGCACCCGACAACACTGGGTGCGCGTGTTAAGTGTGCTTCATTAAAATCCAGACATGTCCTCTTCACGGAGGAACTCTATGACAGCGAAATTAATAACGAGTAATTATTTCTTCATTCAGAAGCCCTATAATTTGTTCCTGCGTGGCATCAAAAATAAAAGGAGGGAGTCCAGCATCTGACCCTTGTATATCAGCCTCTTGTCTAAACTCTCTCCACCCGAGTTTTTGGACAGCATCCAACTATCATGAAAAGACAGAGTGAACACCAACCCCCCACCCCACTACACCCCACTACAAAAAAAACTGGATTCCAAACTCCAAATTCCTCCTTGAGTAAAAAAAGGAAGAAAAGACAACATCAAAACAACACTGAATCAAATTGCTAAAATTCTCTTTCTGACCGCAGCTCCTGCTCGCCCTCACCTATAAGGAGCACTGATATTGATTACCAATGAAGTCAGTTGATGGAGATTTGTTAGCTGGAGCAAATGGACACTGAGAGGGCACCCAAAGTCCCTCCATCAAAATATTCAGAGAGGACCATTTCCGAGGCAGTGTTCTCAGCTCCTTCCTACCAGGGTGAATGGCCTCTCTGTGCAACCTGCCAACTATCTGCCAATGGCTGCTCTCTTTTACAAGTGAATAGACTGAGTTTAGCCACAGTTAAAAAGACACACTAACGTGCCATGGCTGCGCCACAATGGCCGCCCGGGTAATTTGCCAAACCTAATGATGCCGGTTTGGCCCGGGCGAGAGGAGGTAGAGAGCAGGAATCCTAAAGAGGCACACAGCTGCACTGATCCCTCTCTTCCTATCTCTCTCCTCGCTCCTCCCCGTCTCCCTCCGTCCTCTTATCATGATCTCCATTTCTTTCGCTTTGCTTTTTTGCCAGATGACACGACTGGGATGTATAACCAAACACGTACAGCTGCAATCACTCTCTGTCAATACCCGCTGCCCCACTTGAAGGGAGCCGCTCTGTCAGTAGACATGATTGAAGATTACTGGTTGGACAGCTCATTCCCTGTAACATGAATTTCAATGTGAAGCCAGGGTGATGGAAAAATCACAAAAAACAAACATCCAATGGCCTTAGCTACGCTTGAACGGTACCACAACAACAATTTATTTAACATTTTTATGCATCAAACTTTTAGTTTTATCCATTAAGCAGTTGTTGAAGAGTTGTGGTGTCACTGATCAAGATGTTTATATCAATAATTGGTTAATTTACAGCCTATAGCTACTTTAATGCCAACCCTAATGTCATCTGCTCTATCAACAGATGTATTTTTACTTACTTAGCTCTGAATGGCAAAAACGTTAGTAACAGTTCATGTAGTATGCATGACTGCTAATGATTATCTCAGAGTGGATGATGCAGAGACGGAGCTGCGCTCTAATGCTTGCATTGATCTAAAAATTTTAAAAGACAGTAGTTGTGTTTCACTTCAAGGCAAGACTGATAATCAATATTTAAGGAGCTGTGCAGAAGCTACAAACACTCTTGATATGGAGGAGATGGTTTACAAAGGTGCCAAACTGTGCCATGAGTGCTAACCACCGCGCAACTGGGGTATTCAGCTGCATGTTAAGTCAATTTGTGATTCTAAATTACATCTAGGCTTGAATGTGGGCGTCTTTGTTAGGCCTGTGACAAAGTGGTGAGCTGGCCAGGGTGTACCCTGCCTCTTGCTCTGTGACCTCTGGGACACCCTGAATTTGGAAGGCAGAAGATGGATGCATTCAACAAAAGTCCTCCCATAAAGAACAGAAATACATTAATTCACATGTTATAAGAGCGCAGACAACGCCGATGTGTTAAATTGTACACATCCTTTATGAGTGTTTTAACATTTGGTATTAAAGAGTCTTAGCGCTTGTTTACATTTGTATTGACCACTGTCCACTTTTGATCTGATCCGCCAAGATGAACTTTAAACTCAAGTGCTAACACGGTTTAGATTACAAAGTGCAGCTGCCAAAACAAATCATAGAGATCAATCCACACCTCTCTAATCTGTATTAAGAGTTCCTTCACATACTGAACAGTATGTGAAGGAACAAAGAGCAGTATTCAGGCATAGAAAAAATTCAGAAAGAATTTCAGAAAGAACATTTTTTGGTGAACTTCCAGCACTGAAAACCAATCTTGCCCAACAGGTCTACCAGGACTGAAGCAGACTGCTGGTCACAGAGCTATAGTTGTTGTTATTATACTATTTCTGGCCTGGTTGGAGGAGATTTGTACAGTACTGGTAGTAGTAGTAGGAATTGTAGACACCATGGCCATAAGTCTCCAAAAGTTGACTTACGTGAAAAGGGAAAGACCATCTCTGAATCGAGGACGGGCCTAAGGGTACATCTTTCGCCATCTTACAATGCTGTGATTGTAGCCATTCCCCAACTATCTGTGAATGGTGCTCATGGCCATTGATCAGTGGTCTTTGATCAGTGGTTGTTGATCAATGGTCATGACGATTTGCATAATCAAGATTAAGGAACTGACCTCCCAGGCCATTGTTCTTTCAGTGGGCTGATTTCAGTCATTATGCAAACGTACTGTTTATAAGATTGGGGAAACCTGCAGTCAGCTGAGACTGAAGAAGTCACCTGGATGAGTGACGAAAACGCTACGTCCGGATGAACAGAATCAACTTTTGGAGATTTACTTTCCTGGATGATTGAGAATGCATCAAGACATGGCCATAAGTGCAGTCAAAACAAACTACTGTCAGACTCTTCCAAGCAATGCCTAGTGATTTGACTGGTAGACGACAGATGGTGCACAACGATATGTTGGCAAACTAATAAAAATCCCAATCCACTCAAATTTTTCCCCAAAAAAATTCTTATTCATGCTGTCACGAAATACCAAAGGACAGCCAGCCTTTATGGTCAAAAGATGTAAAATAACGAAATTAATTTTATGTCTTGAATGAATGGGCCGATATTAGCCAACAAATGAAATGAAATTTAAAAAGTAAAGAAGAGATATAAGAAACTTTAACCATATTATGAGGATTGATGTTGCATAGTTTGTCCACCAGAGGGCACTCTGAGAACTACCCTGTTGGTAACACACGTGATTGGAACGCCACAAACACAATAACCAGATCATCTGACCAGAGTTGGGCAGAGTGTAACGCTTGAGTAGCTCAACTCTATGTCAGTCAAAAGCTGATTGGTTGACAAGCCAAAGGAGTGACAGGAGAAGCGTGAAAAAACATCAAAGACGGGTTTGACTTTGTTCGTTATAACCTTGCTCTTCTCCATGGCTGATCAATGGTACAACAACAGCACAAGCAAGAGTAGCCCTTGTTGTACCACAAACTTGGGACACTGCCTCCATCTGAGAAGAGACGATCTCTGCAGGTAGACGGGCAGCCTGTAACTCCCTACAGTCTGCAGAGAGACATGCTGAACTCCTAAACGAGTAAATAAATAACTACACAATAATTTTAGGGAAATCTGTTTGTGTTTCATGTGACCTACAGAATTGCCTGTTATATCTGACTTTTAAATCACCAACTTCTGATATTGGTCCTAAAAGCCCTATATTGTCAAGGCTACTGTGTTCTACATATAAGCCCTTTACTAATAATAATAAAGCACTTTACAATGCCACTATTCATTCACTCTCACATTCATACACTGGTGGAGGCAGCTACAGTTGTAGCCACAGCTGCCCTGGGGCAGACTGACAGAAGCGAGGCTGCCATATCGCGCCATCGGCCCCTCTGGCCAACACCAGTAGGCGGTAGGTGAAGTGTCTTGCCCAAGAACACAACGGCCGAGACTGTCCGAATGGGCAACCTTCCGATTATCAGCTTTAATTTCATTCATAGTAACTGATTAAAATGACTCGTAAATGTCTTACTCCCCAAAACTGTGCACGGCAAATACAAACTGAGTTAATATTATCATTCCAAATATGATTGTCTTGGGTTTTGAATTTCTTGGGTGGCTGACAGTCTGAGCATTTTAATTACTAATCCACTGCACATAACCGATGCTGCTGTCATGAAAAATCTCATAAGACCTGGTCCTTATAACCCACCAGAAAAAATTATCATGGCTACTATTTTCCACCAACGACTAATTTCCATAAATCATGCTCATAGTGTAAAAACACCCCGAAGACATTAATCAGCAAACTGTTGGTGCTGTGATTAACTAGATTACAGCATGATGTCAGTAATTAATTGAAGAGTAAAAGGCGACTCTTTGCAATTTTAAAAATAGAAATAAATAAGCATGCTGCTCTGTGGGAAAACATCAAACAGGAACATTACACTTGCACACGTGCAACATGTGGCTTTTGCTTCAGAAAGGCTTCATTACTGAAGTGGGGAAAAAAAAAACCCCACGCACACATTCAGACATAATAACCCAGACTAGGAGTATTGATCCAGGGCTGGGAGTTTCCTCTGTCTCCCATGCTTCTCTCCACCCCATTCCTCTGTCAGTTTTAGCACTTATGCTTTAACCAGAACAAAGGAAACATCCACTACACGTTACACAAACACATCCCCACATGTAGTCTCCAAAGTCACAGCTAGGGTGATGTACGCTGAAGACGAGCGAGGGGGAAAAAGAGGAGGGGTAGGTGAAGGGTCATATTATAGATGATTAGAGAAGAAATGAGCCTGCAGTGACACGAAAACTGACAGGCAGGCAGAAGGAAAAAAACAGGCAGAAAAAAGTAGACACAAAGACAGAATGGACAGGACAACACAAAAGAATAAGCAGTTGCACTGATGCAGCCAATCTCCGCATGGGATATGTGAAAGCAACGCACACACGCCGCACAAATATCACACAGAAGAAAATAAACTTACTAGTTCACCATCAGCACCAGACAGATTCGGCAGATGAACGAGCGTGGCACAGATCCCGGCGCTTCACATGGTGGGAGAGAGCGAGACAGAGAGACAGAGAGAGAGAGAGAGAAAGGAAGGTATGAAAAACAAGAGAGGGAGAACTTGTTACACATCGGCACACAGTGGCACGCTGACCAGAGAGTGTGCAGGGAGGTGAGGGGAGGTAAAGGGGTGTGTGAGTGTGTGTGTGTGTTTGTGATGGGGAAAATAAGGGAGGGGGGCAAAGAATTTCTATCTGTGCAGAGCAAACTGTTAACTCAATAGACAGAGATGTTCTGCCCCGTGTGAGATCCAGTTTTAGATTCTGTTAAAGAATTAGGTCACAGTATGGCGGGAGCCAGCTTGAGCGTTTGAATTAGTTGTGGTTTGTTACAAGCTCAGTATTGCTGTGCTTTTGCACTGCATTTAAGACTGATGACTTATCGACATGTCCTGTTATTCACTTATAGTCACCTCAGACTGATGCACTGATGAAGAGTAGCTGATTAGCAGGCAAAGTAACTGCTGACCGACACCTTTTTATGAGTCCTAAAGAATAATCAGAGCTAGCATCATGAGCATAGAGTGTATATAAAATATAGACATCATCACTGTGGTGTCACCTGTTGATTAACAACAGCGGGGAGTGTTTAAGCTTTTTGAAGCTGACTGTGAAAATGAAAACGCCGCTTGATTTGCGATGGGCACGTCGTTAGCCAATGAGCATGCCCGGGATAAACCTCCTTTCTGGCTCTAGTAATAACCATAATTTACAAAATGTACTTGATGTTTTGTTCAGCAGTGGACCAACCAGAAACACTGTCCTCTGGTTTTAAGGCAGATTCCACTTTGGCTTCACTTTTCAGACTTGGAAGCTACGTGCATGTTTTATTCAGTCTATAATCTCAAGCTAAAGCAAATGGCATTTAAGGGGACACCTTTAATCTTGAGCTAAAGGGGCTGGCTTTGGATCAAAGCAGCCATACGCCAAATCAATCGATCATCTTATCACACAAGCACAAATAACTCAAAAGCTGGTGAAAATCATGATTCCCAGTTAGTATTGGAAAAATACATTAAAAGGACAAAACAAGCAATGAGAAAGCTGTGCGTGAGCCCACCATCGTGATCAATAGTAAATGGACTGGTACTTACAAAGCTCTTCTTTCCTTTAACTGAGCACTCAAAGCCCTTTTGAGCACTTAAAACACTAGGAGTGCTCAAGAGATAAGTTGCACTTCTCTCCTTTGCCCTCTTTCATGTGTGCTCAGTGGAGCAGAGGAGATACACGTGGTGAAACAGCGAGCAGAGGAGAGCAGCAAAACATAAGCACGGAAATCAGATGAAAAAGCTGCACATAAAGGGTGAGCAGGTAACCAAGTGCTCAATTTCCAGACGGCAGCAACCTAGGTTCCAATCTAACCTGTGGAGCTTTGCCCTGCCACTTTCTTCACTTTCCTGTCTGTCGCTACTATCATTATCAAATAAAGGCAATTGACAAAAAACAATATAAAAAAAGGATTGTGTACTGAATTATTTGTTTTTTTTGGTGGAGGTGGAGGGGTGGTTTAACATTTAACTTTCGCTTTCTCTTTCACACTCTTATAACCATGAGAAAGGCCACCACAGGGAGGGACTAACACGTCCCTGGTACTACCAAAACGCTAACAGCGAAGCTTGAGTTACAAGACAGATGGAGTGAGACTTCCAGTGACCACACCCGTAACTCAGTTATGAAGGTGGATAAGTTATTTAAAAAATGCCCTTTTATTGCTGTAAATTTGAGCATTTTAACATGGTTTGAAAGCACCTTAAACACGCACCAAGTGTTGCTGGGTTTGCTATATTATATAGTGTGGCAAAAACAATCAGCAGCAGATAGATAATGGATGATAGGAAAATGTCACTTCTATCTGAGAAGCATTCTGAAGTAAAAGAAAATGTTGTGTTTATGGCAAAACCTTTAACATTAGTGCTAAGAATTAAAACACAGTGATGCACGAACTCTCAAACTAACTATTTACGCTTTAATCAGCAGGCACAAAGGCAGACAAAAAAGAGGTTAAGTGCTCTCAGCTACATCTGAAATCATCTGGATACTAAAGTAAGACTTGGTGTTGGTTGAACACAGCTGCAGTAGCACCGATGTGTAAATGAATCAGGAGACAGAGTCAACACCAAATTCCATTAGTTCAGACAAACATTTCGTTTGCCTAAACAAAGAAATTCAGACTTCCCTCTTGAGAGACCCGATGCCCAGCAGAAAACTGTGATAACATCCGCTAATAAATTTAACTGACTGTGACCCATTAAGGGCAAAAAAGTTCAAACACAAGCACGAGTACTTTTACAACTGAATACGAATACTTTAAATACCCTAAAGAAACTAGCTGTGGATTTTTGTGTTAGCTGTAGAATAATTAGAGATCATGTCAGAAAACATGAGTCTAACTCTTTAACTCTTGATGCAGTGAATAAATTTAATATTGACAGCTGTGAGCCAGCCTGGTTTTCCCATCAGGCTTTACAGAAACTTCATCCAGTGGATGTTAGAGGCGGGTGGATCAATCCAAATATTGATAGTCGATACTAGAGCAGGGCGATATGACCAAAAATATTTATCACGATATACATTTGAAAATTTGCGATAACGATATAACTGACGATATAATTGACACTAGACAAAATACTTTACAACTCCACAAGTTTATTAGTGCAAAAAACCCCATCAATGTATTTTCACTTAAACAAGCAGCTGTTTTTTATGTGCATTAAAGTTATATAAAAACGTAACAGTGCAAATTCCTTGCTGACAGTTTAACCAAAAGTCATTTCCAGTGGAAATTGGCCGACATATCCTCAGCATAACCATGTATAATATCCACTAAACTTAAAAAGAGGTTATACACACACAATACGGTAATATTATGTTGAAGCACAGTACGTATCACTCCGCGAGGCGCCTGCCTACGATAGCCGTAATGCTCCAACAATCCATCAAGCGGTGCGGCTTCGTAGCTCAGCAAAGTCGTACTAAAACATTTGACAGATTTTCGAGCGCCGTGTACATAAAATTGTTTCGAGGTCAGTAAACACAACCAGAATTCATACATAAGGCACACAGGATTATAGAAAGCAGTATCTTTACAGTATCATTAGACTTTTATTTTCTATTTACAACCACTGTCAATTTTCAGAAAAATCAAAGGATTGATTTTAAGTGTGCCGTATTTTCCAAAAAACATGGTAATAACAACGGCCCGCTAGCATGCTCTACCAAAAATAGTGCTTTGTTGTGTATCTGACGGACGAAAGCCAAACTGAAGTTGCAGCATTTTTACAAACCAATTCTGGTTCATCCGTTTCATTTAACGATCCGCTTTCGCTCTTCTCATTCTGCGTCACCGCCATGTGCGTATGTAAACACAGGCCCTGCGCATGCACGTTTTACCCATATTCTATCGCGATATTTCATTTTCTTATCGTTGCCCAAAATTACACCGGTATTAGCGTGAATGGTATGATATAGCCCAGCCCTAGTCGATACCACTGGTATCTTGTTGTCACTGGTATCAGATTGATACCAGTGCGATTAGATTGATGCTTATCATACCCTGAACACACTCTGTGAAAAATATCTGAACTTTTTTTTTAGTTACTTGTTAGTTAGACAGTAACTTGGTATCAGATCAATACCAGAGTATCACTAGTGGATACCTGGTAATTACACATGCCTTTGGCAGATCAAATGAACATGGAAGTAAGCAATGAGGGGTCGGAGGAATGTCCGGAGAGTAGGGCTGGGCCATATTATACCTTTCACGGTAATACCGGTATAATGTTAGGCAACGATAAGAAAATGAAATATCATGCTAGAATATGGGTAAAACATGCATGCGCAGTGCCTTTGTTTTCATACGCTTATATGCACATGGCGAACAGGCATGGCGGCGACGGAGAATGAGAAGGGCGAAAGCGGATTGTCGAATGAATCAGATGAACCAAAATTGGTTTGTAAAAATGCTGCAACTTCAGTGGTTTGGAACTGGTTTGGTTTTCATCCGTCAGACACCCACCAAAGCAAAAAATTTTGTAGAACATGGAAGCGGTCCATGGGGGCAAAGGGAGGAAACACCACAAACCTATTTCATCATTCGAACCAGAAGCACTTGTTGGAGTACAGCAAAGCTGTTTCAGCACGTGAAGAAACGTCCGCTTCAACTAGCACGGTGGTGAGACCAAAGAAGCTGACTCAACAAACAATTGGCGTAGCTTTAAATAGCTGCACGCTAGGACTGGGCAATATATCGAGTTTTTAAATATATAGACACAGTTTTATACGAGATATGAGATGTGACAATATCGTTTATATATCGATGTAGTCTACGTTACGTTATAACTATACTTGTGGAGCCGCAAGTTTTCCTCTCTTTCGTCCACTGTGTCTCTACGCAACGTTACTCTGCCTCGCCTCTCTCCTTCACTGAACACAGCTCCTCCGCCCCCATCGCTTCACCTGCAGGCAACGACAAGATGGACACGGCAGCTATCACAGAGGAGCTGGTCGGTAAAAAGAAAACATTTGGAGATTACTATTTTAGTGCTGTCAGCGTGACGTTAACGCCATAACTACATTAACGGGGCAAATATCTGTTAACGAGTTACCGCGCATCGCCCCGTGCATGAGGCTGAACGGCGTCAACGTGTTAACAAGCTAACCGGGCTAACGCGTTGACACCTAAAATCCTTTCATTTTCTCAAAATGTCGACAGTGTGCCTTATGTATGAATTCTTGTTGTGCTTACTGACCGCAAACCGATTTTATGTGGTACACAGTGCTCAGAAACCTTTCAAAAAGTGTTTTGGTACGACTTTGGTAAGCTACGAAAGCTGCACTGCTTAAAGGACTGTTGGAGCATTATAGCTACCAAGGAGCCTCGCGGAGTGATACGTACTCTGCTTCAACGTAATATTACCTTACTGTGTGTATAAGGACCATAAATGGCATCTGTTCAGAGACACGGTTACAAAGAGGATTTCAAACTCCAGGCTGTCAGTCACGCAGTAGAACCTGGGAACAGAGCAGCTGCTTGTTATTATGCTCAGCGTCTGTTAGTTTACATTTTGACTGCACAATTGTGAGCTCTTTGTTATGCACAAAAACAACATTGTTTTATTTTATTTATGGAGCATTATTATTTAATAAATGCTGATCATTTATTTCTGAGTAATTTTTTCTTGTACATCTATGCTGTATGTTAATAAAAGTGCCTGTGTGAGATTTGGGACACAGTGTGACTAAGAACTCTCTTTTTGTTCTTACTTTATGGCTTTAAAAAATATCGAGATATATATCGTATATCGCCATCCAGCTAAAGAATATCGAGATATGAATTTTGGGTCATATCGCCCAGTCCTACTGCATCTCTAATGACAAAAGTAGTAAACGCTGGGAGGAACTAACTAATGCAGTGATGCATTGTTTAGCCAGGGATATGATGCTCATTCAGCATGTGGAAAGAGAAGTCAATTGTATCGTCAGTTATCTTGTTATCACAAATTTTTAAATATATATCATGATAAATATTTTTGGCCATATTGCCCTGCCCTACCGGAGAGTATACATAACTGTTCACTTAATACGAGATACAGGCTTATACCATTTATTACATTACCATAGACCACAGGTGTTGAACTCCAGCCTCGAGGGCCAGTGTCCTGCAGGTTTTAGATGTGTCCTTGATCCATCACAGCTGATTTAAATGGCTAAATTACCTCCTCAACATGTCTTGAAGTTCTCCAGAGGGCTGGTAATTAACTAATCATGTGATTCAGGTGTGTTGACCCAGGGTGAGATCTAAAACCTGCAGGACACCGGCCCTCGAGGCCTGGAGTTCGACACCCCTGCCATAGACTATCAGCTACACACTCTCTCCCCTGATATTCCACCTGTCTGTCATCAATGCAAATCCACCACTGGTAATTTGACTTATTCTTTCTGGTCATGTAGTTATTGGAAGAGCATTTTTACTGTTACTCTGAAGCATTTGGAAAGAGCTGGGAACCAGACGCATTTACAGCTATCCTTGGGGTGACCAGTGATTTGACGTGTGTTAATAAGTATGAACAGATTGCAATCCACTTTGGAATGGCAATTGCAAGAAAGTTAATAGTACGACAGTCGGGTGGGAAAAAAAAGACTCTGCACTCACATTTGAGCTTTGGATGGGAAGAATTGTAAATATGTTGCAACTAGAGAGACTGAGGCTTCTCGGTGATATGAGACTCAATATATTTGAGAGATCCCGGCATTTTAATGGCATTTTTGAATGGGGAAAATCATTATGCTGCGTGTGTGTGTGTATTTGCTTGTGTCTTTACTGGGAAATACTCAAAGAAATAAAAAGAGGTAAGGGTATTTGTTTGAATAAAAATGCAGAAATCTACATCCAGTGCAGGAAATAAGATATACATTTTCCAATTCAACACGCGGCGTCTTTAAATTACAACCTTAGAAATGGCAATGCAGTCCAATCTTTCTGTTGTATTAATTTACATCTAATATCTTTGATGTTCCACTCTCCACCGCTGTGTGCTTTATGATCTTTGCCCGTCCAGGTTCCTTCAAACTTAGAAGCATAATCACATTCTTTCTGTCATTCCTGAAAGGTTTTTTGCTTCCTTATACATGTGTGATATTTGCTTAAGCAAGCGAACACAGCTGCTGGCATGCTATGGACAGCTTGCACCGTGCTGCCACTGACCACTGCTGAGTACAGGAAAGGCCGAAACTCACCCACCATAAAAATTCTGGGCATATCTAAGTGCATCATGAAATTTAAGGACTAATAAATGGAATGCAAAAAGGCATAAATGATCGCAAATACTGTTTCTGTCGTTAAAATGATAAATACAGAAATCTTCTGGCTGTAATGAGCCTGATCAGCGGGCTGTATGACGGACTAAGATCAAATAGCTCTCCTATGGATGCACACCATCATATCTGTCAAGCCAGCAAGCAGGAAATATGACAGCTCCTCACACTGTTGACAGAAACAGCAGCCAGGCGCGGCTGTACAAGTGGCTGCCAATCTGATAAGGCGAAGGGGTGACCTCCTGTTCAGAAATTAATGGCACCGATAAATCAAACACACTGAAAAACGACAGGCTCGTTTAGCTTCTCGTGGGCCCGGCGGAGCCTAAGAGACAAATAACACTGTCCAGTCTCATCCCCAACTTTAACAGGGCAGGATATTCATCTCTCCCAGCCTCAGTCTCACCACAGCGGAGAACCAAACCCCCCACCACTACCACCACCACCACCACCCCACCCCCTGAGAGGATGAATGGCTCGCTCCTGTGCAAACTTCAGGATGACCTCCTCCGGCTGTGTTTGTGCTGCCCCTCCTGTCAGCGCTGAGGCTGAAAGATTGCAGGCACGGTGAGGCGGCAGGGGAGCCCTCAGCGCAAGCCGAAGCAGCACCGGTGAAAAACAACCAGCTCGGAACATTATAGAGTAATGATAATATATATCATGATAAATATTTTTGGCCATATTGCCCTGCCCTACCGGAGAGTATACATAACTGTTCACTTAATACGAGATACAGGCTTATACAATTTATTACATTACCATAGACCACAGGTGTTGAACTCCAGCCTCGAGGGCCAGTGTCCTGCAGGTTTTAGATGTGTCCTTGATCCAACACAGCTGATTCAAACGGCTAAATTACCTCCTCAACATGTCTTGAAGTTCTCCAGAGACCTGGGAATGAACTAATGATTTGATTCAGGTATGTGAACACAGGGTGATATCTAAAACATGCAGGACACCGGCACTTGAGGCCAGGAGTTGCCTACCCCTGCCCTAGATGCATCCATCTGAGTGTGTGTGTGTGTGTGTGTGTGTGTGTGTGTGTGTGTGTGTGTGTGTGTGTGTGTGTGTGTGTGTGTGTGCGTGTGCGTGTGTGCGTGTGTGAATGTTCGATAAAAGCTTGGGTGAATGAGACTTTGAATGCTCAAACTGAGTAGGATATAAGTGCCACTCTGTTTACTGTTGGATAAATATGCGCTCATAAGTTTAGAAGTACTTTATTTATCCCATATTTGGAAATTCTGGCATCATCATGTCAAAATATTTCTGACGTCCCCTTTTAGAGGCGTCATCTGCGCTTGTGAAGTCAAGAAAAATGGTTCGATAACAAAATAAAAAACCAATTTTTTCCATGTTTTTGTGTCTTTAATCTCAGAATATTTTCAGATTCTCTTCTTACAAATTGATTTTGTATTATTTGCTCATATTTTAACTTCATAATATTAGACAATATTACATTTTTGCACCACATTAATATCAGGGCAGCTCCAGGACTTTTTTTCTTTGTGAATTTGCGAAGTTAATCTCAGAAAATGTAAGTTTTTGTTTAAATATTACACAACTTTTTTAAACTTGTGTTTCTGAATCAATTTGCTTTTATGCACTCGTTATCCACTCCTGTGTTTATGTGACTTGTGGCACTTGTAGATGAACTCTTGGAAATTAGATCTTGGCGTTGGTTACATTTAGTAAAATCAACTTCAGCAGCTCAGGCTTGAACTAGCAAACTTATTTTCCAGTCATGCACACTGACATCTGTCCCGCAGCTTGTCTGAGGTATTAGAAAGCATTATTTTCAGTGTCAATTAAACTGCGAGTTATGTTCAAAATCAACTTATTGACCATTTTGTTGATAAGAAATCTATCACGGAGCAAAACTAAATTTGCCTATGATCACATTTCCTCCAAACTTATTAGCAAATATTATTACTGAACATCACAATATCAACACTCTAATATTGTCACAATCAATTAATCCAAACACACCAGCCAATCCCCAATGGGCTCCATTAATCACAGACCAGCTGCAGAGGAGGGCTACAGTGGTAGCCCAACAACTCTTAACCCCCAAAACCAGCGCCACCACCACCCACGTCACCGCCTTCAATGGACTCCTTGTGCAGCACATAGGGCTCCACTGTGAAGCACGTCTGCGTGTCACAAAGAAATATTGATGTTAAACACTTCAAACATTCAGTTCGTTCCGCTTTAAACACTGGCTGTGTTGATTTTCGAAAACCCTGCAGTCACTGAGGTTTACCTTTCTACTGGAGCTATAAAAAAAAGACTCACACACACAAGAAGAAACAGGGGCTAGGTCCAGTTTAGAGGTTAGAGAAGAAGCCCACAGACACTTACGGTGAGTCACTGAGCAACATTCTGGGAAATTTGCTAAAATCAGATCTCAAACATGTAGATTTGCATAAGTCATGTTTGGGTCCAACCTATAGCATGCAGCTGGTCTTGTTCTGTCAAAACTAGAGTCTGGCAGCTTTTAAAATATCATGTTTACTCTTCATATCTTGTTTATTTACTTGTGCAGAAATAGAAATGCAAAAATGAGAGATGGTTTTAGCAGCTGCAAACTTTTTTTTTGCTGTTTATCGGGTAAACTTCGGGAGGGTAAGCATCTCGCACAGCGGCACGAAATCTCTTACCAAAATTCACATGCCATCCGAAGGTCGCTGCTTTTCATTTCCAGAAAGCTTTCTGCTCTTCCTCATAATTACCACCATTGTCCTACAATGCAAGGCACAAAATGCAGAGATTTGTACCAAGGTTATTTAAATAAATAAAGGTTAGGCACACAGACACAGTCTCAGTCTGTCCATCAGGGCCTCGGGAATAAACTTGCTCATTTGCTCTTTTTCCACTCCAGCCCAACCTCATGACACTGTGGAGGTCTGTGGGTAACACATTCAGGAATCCAGTTTAATGACTGAATGCCACTTCCATTTCAGGGGTTATACATTAGCAGCAGAAGGGCTGTTGCATATAGTCAGGGCTCTGAGAAGCCCTGTCTCTATTTAGTGCTGAGGCAGAAAGAAAAATTAATTGCAACTAAAACTGTTATTTATTTGAGTATTATATAGGAATAAACACATTTAATACTTCCTGCACAGTCTAACTGTAAAGCTTGTCATAGATTTGACATGTTTGACTCCACTGCCTGCTGTCAGTCACACATTTAACCGAGGAATAATCATAATAATGATAGCAGCACGTTCATGTTTACCAGTTAAAGTATGGTAAACTTAGAGTCTGAACAGTCTGTCTGAAGGAAATATCTGTTAAGTTCTCGGCCTTTTTTCCTTCTTCTATCACATGGATCTCTTCAATTCAGTTCAATTCAGTTTTATTCATAGCTCCAAATCACAACAACAGTTGCCTCAACGTGCTTTGTATTGTAAGGTAAAGACCCTACAATAATACAGAGAAAACCCCAACAATCAGACAACCCCCTAGGAGCAAACGCTTGGTGACAGTGGGAAGCAAAAACTCCCTTTTAACAGGAAGAAACCATTGGCAGAATCAGGCACATGAACAAGTTTTTCAGCATCACTCTGAAACAGAAGTTTTAGAGATATTGTGCAAATTTTTTAAAAAAAAGCAGTCCTATAACCTGACCTTATAACAATAACAATACAATAACCACCTTGTGTTTCTGCCCCATCTTCAATGACAGCAACAACAACAACAACAGCAATAGTGCAGGGAAGACGGAAGTCATGGTGTGCTCTCCGCCCAAGACGGTGCTACAAAAGTTGTTTTAATGTATCTTTGCAGTGGTTTGCAGTTGTCTGCAGTTTGTTTGGCGGGTACTTTTGCACAAATCAACTACTTTCAGAAAGCTGGATACACTCTGAAGCAAAACCCATTTGTCAGTGTCCTAAAAGGAAAATATTCACTCACTATATCACCTACAGGCACCAGGTTCACAGTCCGAGGTGTATACTGACTGAACACCTGGAGGAAAATTACGGGCTGATGTGAAGCCAATCCATCATGTTATCCACTTGCAGTACAGTCACTGTAGCTTTACCGTTGCACATCAGTCCACCAGGAATGTAGTCTACTTCTAAAGTTTGGTTAACCGGTTACAAATAAATCCTGCACCGACGACACTGTCTAATTTTACTAATCTTTCTAAAGATATTAAAATGCATTCACAGCACGTGATGCAGTGTTAAGAAGTTCTGACTTACAGAACAAATAATTTCATCAAACTGTCAACTTCAAAGCTTTAGTACTTAATGCTTCCAACATGTGATTTAAATAAGAAAATATTAGAGCCGAATTTGAGGGGGAACTCCAACTAAAGGATACTTCAGGGTTTTAAACTGAAATATGCTTTCCAGCTTTCCAGGCAATACAAATTTTACATTTGTAAATGGAGTTCGGCGCTAATTCGTTCAACGCATTAACCACAGACGGGCTGATGAATTCCACGAGCTTGTCTATGAAATAAAGTTTAAAAATGGAACAAAAAAAGAAAACAATGTTAATGGAAGCGCGAGCTTACCTCTCACCTTTGGGTCATCACAGGATTCACGGTGAGGGGAGTTATGCGGGCTCAGAGACAGATGCAGGACTCGCTGCAGACCCGCCGTCCACAGCTGTGCACTCTGCTGCAGCCCTGTGATGGCAGGGCGAGGCAGGCTCAGACCACTAGGGGCGCTGTGTGATAAACTGAGTGGTTTCTACGTTTAATACCGCAATAAGTGTGATTTGACAGGCGTCTTTATGCATGACGGAAAACAAAAAGAGAAAGAAAACAAGAAGTTATGTTGCTTTTTTGTTTTTTATAAAAGTCAGTCTCAGGCCCGTATTGAGTCATTATGACTTCCCAGAGCCGATAGCCAGTGTGAGTCTGTGACACTGTATTGCAGAACATTTTCTCCAGTAAGACAAACCTCGCTTTTTAAAGAAACTTTAAAAACTTTACAAAAAAAGTGGATCCACTTAGTCAGGAAGGTTGTGCTAAAATTAGTCTTGGCTATGGATTGTCCAAGGGTTGCCTTCTCTTTCTTGATAGAAGGCATGTGCCACTTATTACTGGCACATGGATGAGCTCATTGAGAAAAAGAAAAATACAATCAAGAAACCACTGAGCAAAGCTTGGCTGCCACCTAGCGGGAGAACATTACGCAATCCCACTGCAAAACATTAACCTAATCATGTACTCTATGTAAACAATGACTGTATCTAAAGCACTGCAGTTTGCATTTCAGATAAGTTATGAATATTTCCAAAAGCCTCAAACACGTTTTTCAATTAAAATAATCAATTACGACCTCTGTGTATTTTATTTTTATTTAATTTTATATATATATGTATGTACATGCACACACGTAGATATACGTATATACTATACATATTCAGTAATGTGCATACACTTTATATTTGTACATATATTTATTGTTATAATCCTCAGATTTACCCATTCTTATATTTTGTTTGTTCTTACGTTATTGTATTGTATTTTGCACGCCTCTGTTGCTTGTGAAGCTTGTACACAAGAATTTCACTCACATGTGCTGTACCAGTGTACCTGCACATGTGATGTGACAATAAAAGTGATTTGATTTGATTTGAAAACATAAACACATAAAAACTCAGTCAGAAATAGAACAAGTTCAACATATAATACAGTTAATGTAAGATTAAAAAAATGAGACAATTTACCTTGCAATCTGTATTCAGGTGTTTCTTCTATATACTCTATAAATATAAAAATGCAATTTTCAACCATAGTTTGGCTTTAAATCTAGAATTATTTCTTTCTTACCTATTTCTACTTGCAAGATGTGAATGCTTTTGGACTTGTAATGGTAGATGTTCAACATAAAAAAGCATGTGAGCATATGACATAACTAAATGAATGAATGAATGTTGGGAAACATGACAGAACAAAAAACTAAACAACGACAAATCAGCTACAAATCTAATAGGGCAACAAGTGTATTGTTTTTCTGCCTCTTCTTCTTCTCATTCTTTATGATCTGCATATAATACTAATCATCATCATCATCATATTATAGCACTTTTTTCCTGAAATTACAACGTAATAAATAAAGCCTGAACCATAAAATAATTGCCAGAAAATTATTTATTTATTTATGGTATTTTTAAAAAAAAAAACCTGGACTGTTCCTTGAACCTTCTGACTAATAAAAAAATGAATTAAATATTACTTTGCATTTATGAGTTATAATCTGCATCTGGCATTGTTGTGCAATTTATTTAGGCTTTCATGAAGAAGAAAAAAATCACAGGTCTCAAAAACTCCTGTATGAACTATGATGCATTTGGCTTCATGTGGTTAATTCTAACAATATGCAGTGACTGAGAAAGCATTAAGTTTAATTTCTTTTGTAAAATTACCAAATCATGCCATTTCTAAAGTCTTCACTCAAAGCTCTACTTCAATCTTGTTATTTAGAAAATAAAGGGGAATTGATTCATCGTTCAGTCCTATCTAATCGCAGTTTTTAGTATATCCAACTGAGTAAACCTGTTTGCTTTTTTAGCTGTGATAACGTGTTGATGAACTGTTGCTCTGATTGTTTCTATTTTCTCAGCCATGACGCAATAAACTCCCGCGCTTTAGTAATTCACCGGTAGCTAATAGAAACAACGCATTCACGTTCCCTGTGTCGATTTCAACCAATAGACACAGAGAGTGCGTGCCAGCCAATGGCGAGCGCATGCCTAAGGTCTTCGATCCAATGACCCCTGAGTAAGGTCGATAAAGCTAGCCAATAAGACGCTAGCAGCATTGTGTGACCGAGGCAGGGTCTGCCGGGTTCATTTCGCCGCTCCTCCACCCGGCTGCTCTTTTTGGATCTCACTGCAATGGCGGAACAGCAGCAGTTCTACCTCTTGCTGGGTAACTTGATGAGCCCTGACAACAACGTCAGGAAACAGGCAGAGGTAAGACGAGGAAAAAAACAGTTTTTAGTGGCTGACAAGTTCGGCGAATGCTGGAAGTCGTGTGGCCAAGTTAGCAGAAGCTAACCACTTAGCTGTCCATCCTGGCCGCGCGCAGCCTCTCACGTCAAGCTCGGTAGCCCACGTGCGCTGTGAAGCCGAGTACTAGTCAGCTAACGCTAACTACCACCATGTTGCGTAGTTATACGTGGACATAATTTCGATGTCACAGATACCAGCGCTGTCATGACACCATGTAGCCGTACGTGTCTCGGCAAAGCTCGGGCTGTTCGGTAAAAAGTGAACGGACCCGTTTGTCGGAACCAGCCTCCAAACCTCCAGCTGACAGTGGCGCCTGTAGAGTACAGGAAGTAGCAGCAAGCTAATGAGCTACCCACAGTGCTGCTAGGTTTGTTAGCTAGCACGCTAGGGTTCAGCACATTGGCTTGCTAAAATATTAAAGCGGAATATTGAGACTGAACGTGGCACATATGCTGAGTTACTGCTGCGGTGATAAACAAACCATCAAAGGGATAGGCTGTAGATGGTGAGGTAGTTCATTCAAAGGGGCGATTACTTATGCAATGGCCTCCGGTCGTGTTAACTAAAAGTCAAGTCTTAACCAGACAGTTTTAAACTAGCAGCCGTGTTTCCCTTCGTGAAGTTGATCATCTCAGTTTCAGACACGTCAGTAGCTAGGCTCGTCTCCTCGGATTAGTTTCTCTCAGAGGATTTGTTTAGGCTGTGTCTAGCTCGTCTATTCACTCTCCCCCCCTCACAACCACCATTATTAGCCTCTTGTCGCCTCAGAGCATTGTTACCAGCGTCCCCCTCCCTCTCCGGCACCCCGACTTTTGGATGAGGTGGTTGAATCTTATCACACACCGCCTCTCTCTACCAGTCAGCGTTTTTCTTTGATAAACTCACACTGTCTGCCGGGATGCTAAGCTCACTGGAATTCATCCTTTATAGGAACTCCTCCCGTTCTCTTTTACTCGCATAATAGGAATTGATCCACCTGTATGGGACCTAAACTCACATTTTAACAGTTGAAAGATACAGTTAGTCACCCTTTATTTTATTTTAATTTTTTTGTAGTTAATCCCATCACTAGTTCATCCAAGTGGTGGTATTGTGAGAAGCCATGAAGTGCATTTGAATTTGTGTGGCAACCAAACTCATTTAGGCTTTAGGTGGACAAATGGATTAGTGCAGTAGTTCAAGTCAGGTTATAAGAGGAGTGGACTTTGCAGATTGATTTGCAGGTAATTCAAGGGTTGCTCAACCTGAGCGCTTGGTCATTCTGATTCTAATTGTTTGGGATTTGATTTTAGCCCAGCCGTTGGCACATCTGTGCTCCTCCCTGTCTCATTTTGTCAGTTTGGGAATCATTGAAGGTGGCTCTCCCGTGCAGTTGTGTTAAGAGTTTGTATTCGATCCTTCCACATGATGGGGATGCTGAAACTACATGCACATAGTGACTTTTACCAGAGCGCACACCAGAGGTTTCACTGTATCCCTGTGGAGTCTCATTTAACTTGGGTAAACCAGCATAACAGTGGTAAAATAAATGGGTGGCTCTTGTGTATGAGCCCATTAGGGCTCATGTTCAGTTTATAGCCATATTCGGTACACTTGCACAAATGTCACACTTTTACTGCTGATTAAAATACTGATTGTCTTTATAGCAAACATCAGTGATGTACAGGGTTTTTCCTGGCTCAGAACTGGACATTTGGGGTGCGATTATGCAAAGAAACACAATGTGAGTTGAGGCAGAGTGTTACCTTACCTGACAGATGTCTATGTATTTTCCTGTGGGTTTTTTTTTTTTTTTTTTTTTTTTTTTTTGGCCATTTTTATAAGGAAAATATATTCATGCTTCTGTAGCTTAACCCTCAGTAAAAATGGGAAAAGTGAATATTCAGTCCTGCCTTTATATTTCAGGTAATCCCTGATATGACCTCACTGGACAGTCCTTATTATTTTGACCACAGCATCTGTTTAAGCTTGAGTGTTTTGTTTTGGGGGTTTTTTTTTTGGTTTTCTTTGTAACTGCAGTAAAGGGAACATGATGCTGTATTAGCAGTAGAAATTCATGTTGTGCATGGCCTGTCTGATCCTAACCGCGGTGCTTTCATTTTCTTTTCAGGAGACCTACGACAATATTCCAGGCCAGAATAAGATCACATTCTTGCTACAAGCTGTCAGAGATGCGTCTGCTGCAGAGGAGGTTTGTACACGGATTGTGAACATATCTGTGGCATGACATGGTGAATTTTTTCAGCCTGAAGCAGGGGAACTTCAAAAACTTGGCCACTTAAGAGCCCATCTGAGACATTTATGATCTGTTGTATTGTGCTCAATGAAGTCTTGACACACCCAAAAACGGACCATTTAGGCCAAAGGTCAGACAAAGTTGACGTAATTCTTTCACCTTTAAAATCTTAAGTTGTCAACAAATGTTGTGTATGAAATTTGTTTTTCACTCGTTCACATCTCCGTGGGTTTTTCGGGTGCTGTGTCACAGTTAATATGAGACATTACATGCTAAATAAATGGATTATGTGCATTTTTGCCCTATATGAATACTGTACTGAGTGGGTTTTAATACACACAATAACTTGGAAAAACATCATCCAAAGTAATCAGGGATGCGCTCCAGCCTCTGTCAGAATCTAAT